GGGAATTCTACCCGCACGTGAGAGGATTCACAGCCGTGCGGAGCCGCCATGATCTCGTACAAGCTCCGCTGCAAATCTTGTGCGGCGGGGGCAAGGCACCTGGCCGCGCTGTAGAATCGGCAGGGGAGGGGATGGCCGAGGGAGCGGCGCTCAATGGCGGAGAGGCATGTGCCCTTGGCAGAAGATGAGTCGCAGCGGCGCCAGAGGTAGGGAACAACTTTGTGGCGGCTCATGGTGGCGGGGAAGACGTAAGACCTGCTGGGGTGGCGATGCGCAACCGCAACGGGAGGTCGGCGACGGCGAGCTGGCATCGTCAGGAGGCAGCGCGAGGGAGGAGGCGGGGTGCGCGACGGGTGTCGCTAGTGGAGGAAGAAGGTAGTCGGGCTCGGGAGTGGATAAGATTTGTCTTTTCCTTTTTTTTAGTTGAGAAGAGATGGACCGAGTGTGAGGTTGATGTTGGTTGTCGCATAGCGCGGTTACTTGGTCTCGCCAAATAGTGCGTGTGCACTTTTAAGATTTCAGGGTAAAGAAGAGAGGCAAATCGCGGAGCAGCTCGCCTTCTTCCCTCCCGCGCCGCTCCAGAGTCCTGAGGTTGGTCTTTCCCTCTCCCTCTCTCTGCTGCTGCGCCGCCGCCGCCGCTAGGGTTAGCCTGAGCCGCCGCTTAGACGCCCGCGCGCCCCGATCAACGTGCTCCCCTCCCTCTGTCGCGGCCAGAAGGGACGACCGAGAAAGAGAGGGGACGAGCAGATCAGCGGGGGCGATGGCCGCCGCTTGCTCTGCCACCTCGTGCCACAGATCTTGAATGGAAAAAAGGTAGCGAGTCCGGCGGCGGGGCAGATTTGGGTTGTTTGGGGGGAGGTAGCCCGCCGGAGGGAGAAGAAAGAGAGGGGGGGACGATGTATTGAGGGAGATGCTGCTGCTATTTGTTTGGATTTGGGCGAGACGATGGAGAGCAGAGAGGATTGCCCGCTGCTGTGCTTTCTGCTGCATGAGAGAGCACAGGGGATGCAGTGTAGAATGGGTTGGGGCGGTAGTAGCAGGGAGAGAATGGTGACTCGATGGAGAAGACAGAGTTAGTGCAGGGAGTGTTACTTGCTGCTGTGCAATTTGTGCTGCCGCTTGCTTGCTTTGCTTGATGCTTTGTGCTACTACTGCTTGATACTGTAGTTGATACTAGTACTTCTGTTCATTTCTCTTTGAATCATTCCTTTTTGATCGATTTTTGCGGTTGTTATAACCGGGGTCCTTCTTCCTTTTTGCAGGGAGGAGTAGGGCATTGGATTCTAGCAGTCGATTCTGTCCTTGAGATCCAGAATCAAGCTAAGCAGCAACTCCAGCGTGCAGCAATGGCGGCCGCGGCTGCTGAAGTTCTCCTGCCTTCCAAGAGGCAAAAGAATAACCCCAGTTGTCTGGGAACCTTGCCAGTCCTTCCGGTCACGGCAACTGCAGACTGGTCCTCGCTCCAGCCCGACATAGTCCGCCACATCGCCAACTCCTTCCTCACCACCGACGACGTCGACTGCTACATGGACTTGCGCGCCGTCTGCCACAACTGGCGCTGCGCCACCGACGATCCCAAGGACGACACTTCAGACCCCCGGTTCCTCCCGTATAGGTGGATCATCCTCAACGACGCCTTTCAGAGTGGCACGCGTCGCCTCTTGGTCAACACCAACACTGGCCGGTTCCTCCACAGGGAGCTCCCATTGCTCCGCGACTACTATGTCATAACCACCACTCTCACCGGCTTCTTCATCCTGGCTGATAGGAGCCCTCCTCATGCCGCTCGTGTATTCAACCCTCTCACCGGCGGCACCATCCCATTCACGGTGCCTGTGCCGCCCGAGGTGAATGTTGCCGGTTCCATCTGCTTTGACTTCACTTTGCCTTTGCTCACCTTGCTCTCCGACTCATCTCACAAGCTGTACATGACCAGGCCTGACCAGTTTGAAGTCGAAGACCATAAGTTTCCAGTTTATAGTTTCATCCGAAGGGCAGTCGTAGGTGGTTTGATCGGTCGTTGGTGGGGATCAGCCGGAATGTCTGACGTGATTGGCAAGATCTTGGGTGTGGCAGAGTCGCTCCATGCTCATCCATTGAAGTTTTTTTCCGCTGATCCTCCTGAGATGGGGTCTGCAGACAACGCCCGGTGTTTCCTAATGGACTTTGGTGGACATATGCTGGCCATCATCAAGGGACAAGGACTCATCCAGGTTTTCAAGTGCGATGACGAGAATGGCACACTTTCGCATGTGAAGAGCATCATCAACCATGCCATCTTCATTGGTCACCATAGGTGCCTAGCTGTGAACACCGATATGTTCCCATCGATTGAGGCAAACTGTATTTACTATACTGAACACCTGGGTTCCTCTGCTCGTATCTGGAAGTTCAACATCGAGGACAGGGAAGTAGAGACGGTCTCGGAAGCTGTTGATTTTGCGAAGAAGGACAAGCAGTTTGTCCTCGTCGCCGACCGTCCTTTCACGATCATCCAGCTTCTCTCAAGCTACACCATCAACATCCAGGATTCTGAACTGGCCTTACAACAGATCACATAAGGCGCCGCCGATGAACTGGATGATTAAGCCTATGGTATGCATTGCTAAGAAATGGTTCAGTGTTTTCTCTGTGGTCTTTTGTTTTGTTATTTTGGTTATGCCTCGACTTGTTCAGAGCGAGAAACAGGTTGAATCTAGGTTGTATGTTCTGTGATGGAATTAGTGTTTGCTATCCTAATTAGGACATGATGATATGTACCCAACGCTCCACTGTTTAGCTTGATGGTGCAATGTGGCCCTTAATTGCTGCAGTAAATAGTTTCGGGTCGACCTTTCCCCCCATTTTCTGTATATGGCCCTGCAATGTGTTGTTCTAGGCAAGAACAGGTTTTAGATTTGCTTACTGGTGGTCTGTGGAACTGCTGTATGCTGTGGCAGGGCTTAAATAGAGTATGAATTCAATGTTTCATCTATTTCTTTTAATGCTTCCTGGTGTCTACGCTTCATCCCGTGTACTACTTGCTTTTGTTATTTGTTCTTTTGTTTGATTTCTGGGCCTTACTGGAGAAATACAATTCCACTTACGGACTTGAGATGTCTGTTGCAGCTTACCATTGCTGCCATGAACTTAGGAAAGCCTTTTCGTAGAAAAGTTAATGACACGATTTATCTGTGCTATTTCTGGATGGGTTTGGTAGATATAGTGAACATGTTTTGCCGGGCAGGCGTATTACTTTAACATGCATAGACTGTATCATGCATGTTCAGTAGTCGCATGTGTTGATTGGATCATAGTAGTATGAAACATAGCTGTTCAGAATGAACATGGTCATGCATGAAGAGGTAACTTATCATCAGGAGTAAACATAGACCAGCCAGATGTAGTGGTTCAGGGGTATGGTAAGTGCATTAAGCCAGCGATCAGGCGATGAAGCATAAATTAGTCCTTTAGCTTTCCTCCTCTGAAGCTTTCTTTTCTTTTTGAGATGGGTACCTTTGACTCCCTTAACGAATGCTCCAGTTTTGTGGTGGCCTGTTCGTCGGGCACCCAGGCCCGGGGGGCAATCCTTTTGGCGGCATGCCGAACATATGCACCACCGCAAAATAATACACTGGACTACTATTCTTGGCCTAACATTTTCACTGAAGAATTCACCTGGCTAAACATTCTAGCTGTTGGCAGTGGCCCTTGCTACATTATAAACACTAGTTAAAATCATGGTCTTTTATATCTTGGAGATCTTCGCATGCAGTCTTCCTTAGTTACCTGGTACTACTCATGTTATTTCAGTGGCTGAATGCAGTTATCAGGGCTATACTTTGGACCTTGTTCGTGCCTTTGACAAGATAGTATGTCAAGTAAAATACCAAATCATGGTTAAAAAATTGATACCAACCATGGTAAATAATGCAGAAACCTGCACTATTTTTTCTTCAGAGAACCGAACCCAAAGTACATGCTATAAAAACTTTGTACATATTCTAATTTATTCTGAATGAAAAGACAGTGTTCTTGTTGTTTGCTCGGAACAAAGGAAAAATTTACTCAAGGGGACCATAAGTACATATCAATCTAGTTTAATCCATATGCAATACTTGAAAAATAACAAAAACTATATTTTTACTATTGTCACAACTTCTAAGTGATTAGTTGCATCTGCATTATCATGTTCATTCCTGGGAAAAAAATATCATGGCATGATTTGATCTAATCAACACCTGTATGTCTAAAAATAAAACAGCAGTCCGGCAAAAATGTGTGAAGGTCTAAATCAGAAAACAACATTCACATATCGTGTCAGAAATTTATAGATGCAAATCACATCTAAATTTCATAGCAGCAAATTATGGTGAGCTGCAAAGCAACATCTTTGGTTCTCAACTGCAATTATGCTACAAATTGTGTTGGTTCATTTTTTAGTAATGCCCTAGCAGTTCCACCTAATACAACTCATTGATTCGGGCAGGACCGTGCACCGAAGCACCCAACTCGCTCGGTTCACCAACACCACTGTCCACTCGCATCTCGCCGGTGGTAAGCAGGCCGGAGTGGCGTCTTAACAACCGGCTTGTAGACATTGATGCGGTGCTTCTTCCTCAACTCAGATCATTCTAGCACTAAGACGTAGCATCCTCCTCAGAGATGCCCAATTTCCACAAGGCCTCCTCCAGTTGAGCCCTACCCAACATGGCTGGCTTGCCTCTCGTCTCCATCCAAGCACCGCTA